GTTCAGGAGTTAAAGAGAACACATTTCCTTTGTGTTACATATTTAATAAGCTGAAGCACGCAGGGAATTGCTTTTGCCTTTAACTTCCACGTTTCCTCAAACTTTCCTTTTTGCACATTCCTCTTCACGCTTTAACGCAGGTCACGTGTCTGACCTTTCTGCAGCTGTGCCTGCATGGTCGTCAGCGGCGTGGTATCTTTTTTGACAGAAGGGCCCGCGTACTTGGAATTTAAAGTCTGAGTTCAGTAGCCKAAGTCTCCGCGACGTGTTTGCTGTCACGCTCTGATGAGAGGTTCACTGTGGAGAGTAGACATCCTCCACTCAAAGAGTTGACAGAAAGAAGCCGACCCGTTGGATCATAAATCACACATAATGTAGCCCATAAATCTACCAGAGTGTTTTGTGTTCCTTTCTCCAAGCAGAGTTCTTTGGTTTTCATGCAAAACAATTTCTCTGAAAAAAGCAACAGGCTTCTGACACCTTCATCCTGTAGGTCCATCATGAGGATTTATTGTTAGATATAAAAAAAGAACAAAACTCCCACTTTTCATTCTCCTCACTCATCATGTAGCGCACAGCTCAACCTCAGAGTCAGACTGATTATAAAGTCTAAAYATAAAATATGCTAATGACCATAAAAACAAATCTTTACCCAAACCGAGGTCATCTGGACCCTGTGCATGCCTAAAGAACATTTGAAACGTTACATGGTAAAAAYTTGAGTGCTACAGAGCATGTTTTACCCGATTCAGTCAGTGAATTACCTCTTCCGAGTTCTGCAGAAGCCTGATAATTATCTATTCATTCAAATCAGGTGTGTTGRAGCAGAGAAACAAGTAAAACATGCAGGGCTGCTGACCTCGAGGACTGGAATTGATGATACTGATATTGGGTGTTTCCTAAACCTCCATTCTAAGACCCTGGTTTTAAAAAGTTCCAGTGTCAAAGAAATTGATCACTCTTGTTGTGTACACAAATGGCTAAAACGCTACAGAAATTTTACGGTTTAAAAAAAAACAAGGCCCAAAAAAAAGCTATCTGCAACAGGTAAGATATTTATTGTTATTAGGTAAGATTATTTAATGTTCTTGGGTTAAGCTTACATTTCAAAGTTCTAGTGTGCAATACGCTTTTTTTTTTTACTCACTTTCGTTCAAAAACAAAACAAAACAAAAAAAAWTTGCGTACAAAAACAWCATTTCTGACGTCAGATTATCTCCATAGCTCAAGTCGCGCGCTCCCGCACGTGCGGTGCGCCGCCGCGGCCGCTGCAGGGCGCAGCTCCGTCACAGCTGAGGAGAGCGGACCCGCGCGCAGACCGTCTCCGTCCTCCAGCCGTCTCCCGTCTCGTCCTGCCCGCCACGGACCGAGCGAACAGCGGCGGCTGCTTCCGCCATCATCCCTCCTGAGGTGAGACGATGCTCCTGTTTTTCCTCCTCCCCAGCTGCTCAGGGAGGGAGGGGGGGGACACAACACACTCCTCTCAGTCCCTGCTGGCTCCCTCTCTGAATGGTGGCATCTTACTGACTGTCTGTTTTGATCTCGGAAAGGGCCTTCAAAAGCCCCATCTTTGTCAGTTTTTGTTACTGCATCCAAACAGTGATGAGCATCTGCTGTGCTCATACAAGTTTGTGCACACGCCTGCATTCTTGWGGTTGCTTCAGTGCATACCTGTCTTTAATGTGTGTTTATGAGTGTGTGAACCTGAGTTTTGTTACCTTTTTTAGGACCTTGTATAAACATTTACCTTTACAGGACCTGTAATCCTTATTGGGACCCAAACCTTGCTCTAGGGGTCAGGGGTTAGGTTTAGGCTTTAATGAATGGAAGTCAATAAGGTGTTGTCAGCTTCTCCCTGGCTTGTTTCCAGAGCACCACAGCAGCGTGTGAATGGCGACAGAAGTTGACAGAGTTGTTGTCCCGGGGCCCCAGGAGGAGCTCCCTGCCTCCGGAGCTGTCACTCACGCCGCCCGGAGCCCGGGCCACATCCACTTCCAGCCTCCGACACGCACCTCCCAGTGGCAGGCCTCCCTGGCTCACAGCAGGGGCCACAGTCACACACACTTCATCGCCGCAGCCTCACACACGCAGCCGCAGAGGTACAGCTGTCGCCTCGCACACAGCCTCTCAGCCATGAGCAGAGGGGAGAGGGGAGCGCAGGGGTCTGCGGGGAAGCTCAGCAAGCCCAGTGAACCGCTGTTCCCCAAAACCTCTCAGCAGGTAAGATCATCTGTTTTTTATGTTTCTGATCTCAGACACTGAGCTGCAACCTGTCTGCGAACGGCTGGATGGTGCTGGAATCTTATCTGCTGATGTTTTTGCTGCTTAGTTTCCTCGTGAAAGACTTGATGAGAGATAAGTGTAGTGATTTATCTGTAATTAATCAGCTGGATTGTTTTTTTTTTGTTTGTTTTTGACTGTGTTCATCAGTGCTGAGAAGCTGACTGTGTTTAACTTAGAAAACTTGCCAGACTGTTGCTCTGTTTAGACTCAGGCATCATTAAATAGGTTTACATGTCTCTTTTTTCTTAGTTAAAACTTACTGCAAATGACAATAGGTCATAAGTTCCCATAAGATTGAAGCCTCGTGTAAAATGTAAATTAAAACAGAATTTAGTGATTCGCAAATCTCATAAAGCTGTATTTGATTCACAACAAAACAAAGAAACAAYGTTTAAACTAAGAAATTGTATTTTATTGGGGGTTAAAAAATGCAATTTCGAATTGAATCATAGCATTATATCTAAAATAAATATGGGACAGACAGTAAAAGGCTCTAAAAGCAGGAGGGAAAATTTTAAAGCATTTGAAAATCCTACTGTCTACATTTTATTTACAGTTTATCCAACCAATAAAGGTTTTCAAGAGTGGAGACATCGCTGAAAAAAGAACAAAGCTGGAAGTCAATAATGGAAGCTTGTGAGCCCTCAGGGGCCACTGCATTGTTTATTTGTTTGTTTATTAGTTTATTTAACAGGGACAACATGAACGAAAAAGCATTAATAAAAGATGCTTTGCACCAGATTTAGTTTAAGCTAGTTTCCATCAGGAGAGTTAATAATACAGCCTAAAATCATTCAACACTGAAAGTCTATATGTGCTCGATATACAATCACTACAAAATCATAAAATGACAACAATGTAAACAGTACTAAATACAAACAAATATAAACAGGTTTGGTTCTGTTTTGGACATCACTGCTTGAACACGTCAGTTTATCAATATCTGTAAACATGATGGTTAAAGCTCTATCATGCAAAATTAGATGCATTTTCCCTTAAGCAAAGTGTAAAATATAACAGAGGCAAAATAAAATAATATTTGTTGGTCAGACAAATCAGAATTTGAAATGATTTCGTGGAAACTACAGATGCCTTTTTACTAAAGAGAAGAGGGGCCATCCAGTCTGTTACCAGCACCCTGTTCAAAAACCTGCCTCTCTGATTGTATGGGGGTGCATTAGTGCTTATGGCATAAACAGCTTACATGAACGGAAAGGCACCGCCAATGCAAAAAAGTATAAAGTGATTTTAAAACAACGTAAGGTCCCATCCAGACAATGTCTTTATCAGAACTGGCCTGCCTGCAATCCAGASCTTTTACCAGTTTAAAACATTTGCTGTATCATGAAATCTGGCAAAGAAGGTCTAGAACAGAACAACTGATCCCACATCGCACAAAAATAGGACAACTTTCCCACTCTGAAAACTCCAAAACCCTCAGTTCCAAACATTTACTATGRTCTGTTGTGAATAAAATTACGAGTTGATGAGATTTGCCTTCTGTTTTTATTTGCATGTAACACAATGTCCCARCATTCTGGGGGTCATATTTGTAGAACATATCTTCATGCTAACATGGCCTACAGGCTGTTGGATGAAGGAAATGAAAAGTGGTCCCAGACAAACCAAGTCTGAACTTGATGCATTGTCCCTTTATGAGATCGGTGCATTTTTTTGCAGAGAGCGCATCAAAAACCGTCACCCGACTATACAACAGTTAGTCACTCATCCACCTCAGCTCAGGTTTTGTGTGAAACAGTGTTACGTCATATTATAAAAACGGGTTCAGCAACTGTTTCGTTTCTGCCAAACGTCTGTCAAATATCCTGAAAATCCTGAAAACAAGTTCAAAAGGCTTCAGTTGTTAGACTCTCACAGAGAGTGTTTACAGCGAAACCAGTTGTGTTCTTGGGCAAAAATTAAGGAGGTTATATGAGTGTCCCTAAAATCCACATTTTACCTGTTTTTATTAGTTTTGGTTTGCTGGTTGGGATAAAAGTTGGCAAATAATCCAACAATTTACCTCATCACAAAAACTACTGGGTGAGAAAATCATCATCTCTCGTCACCATACAGACTTGTGTTATTTTTAAGTGTACAGAAGATGACAAGCATCTTAACAATGTTTGTGTCGGTTTTTCGGCCAACCTTGAAACCAAGCTTTCTGGTGAGCTAAATGACAATGCTCACCCCCACAGAGCATTCCATCTTCTCTCCACTCCTAAGTGAGTTCAAAAACTGTTGCTTTGCCGGTAATTTAAGAGCATTTCAGTGAACTACGGGGCGCCGAGTTTAAAATAAAATATTAAAAAAAGACACGTTTTCATTATTTAGCTGTAAAATCCTACTTTTAAAAAATTCCTCTAACATTTTATCATTTAACTCGTTCTTAAATTTAGCTAATTTTTACTAGATGTTAAACAATATGCAGATATTAAATCCTAAATGTAAACGTGGCTAAATGTTGACGTTTAGATGTAAGTATTTTGGAATGGAACGCAGCATTTGGCTCTTGTGATGATGTCATCATCCTGASACAATAGCAACCGCTAACGCTGCTAACTCTGCCCTACAAGACATCAAACTTGCAGTTGTAGTTGATGTGCTCCGAGCAGCACTTCAAACCGCCAGACCACACCATCCACACTGTTTTCAATGAACACATTTTAAATTTAAAATTTAAATGCAATCTTTTGCAGCGTTAGCAGCGTTAACTGTGTTAGCTGTGTTAGCTGTGTTAGCGGATGCTTTTTCGCACGATGATGACATCAGAGCTAGAACTGAGCAACAGTAAAGGCTGTGTTCCTTTCCAAAAATTTTAAATGTAAACTTAAACATTTACAACTTTTAAAATTTAACTTTTACATTTAGATTTACACCTTTAGATTTAAACGTTTAATATTTAAGTACATTTTTTATCATTTAAATTGAACATTTAGTGGAAATTAGCAAAATGTAAGAACAGTGAGCTGAATAATAAAATAGAAAATGTTAGTGGAATTTTTTTAATTAGCATTTAACACTCAGAAAGTGAGCTAATAATGAAAATGTGTTAGTGACATTTTTGAACATTTTATTTTACATTTAACGCCCCATGAACAGGTTTACAACTGAGTAAATATTTTTTAACTCGGAAAATAATTTAAAGATAATTTCACAGGTTAGGAGTGACAATGTTTTAAAGCATCCCACTGATCGATCTTTTGATTTCTGTTAAATCTTTTCCTTAGCCAACAAGTTTCAAAACATATTTTCTTTCAAAATTGAAAAATGAAGGTTTAATGTACTGTATGCATGGTCTCGACATTGTGTCCGTATCGTTTCTCTTTGATATCAAAACTTAGCAATTTTTTGAAAAAGTAGCTCCTTGTACGAGTTGAAACTCCCAGCCTCCACAATAACATCATAAATGTCTGAACTTCCTCTTTTTTGACTTCTCACTATTTGTTTCAGTGCATATAAATGTTAAAATTTAGCTACTGAATAGTTTACATGCATCGAGCCATAAACCACTTAATATGACATCAGTGAAAAAGTTAAACTTGGTGTGAATGAGATCCTCTTTCTGAGGAGGCTGTCGGGCAAACTGGTCACCCATGGCAACATTTTGAGTGACAGTGATTGGTCTGGGAGTTATTTTGGTTTCCATGAATTGTTTTCACTGATGCACAATGAAGTTCTGCAAACCAGTTAGAACTGGAGGAACTCCTATTAGCAGATTGTCTTCATTTATTTATTCTTCAACAACTGCTCAGTTTTTAAGAAATAAGACAAATTATCATTTTACTTTAGGTTTTTTTTGCCTTCGTATTTCAGTCAGTTTGCAGAAATTCTGGGCTAAACTGACATTTATTACACAATTTCAATTTATGGGATTTATTGTTTCTGTGTGAAACATTCTAAGTTCCTTATGTCCTTTTTAAAATGCACTGCTATAAAAAGAGTCTAAGTAATGAAGATTAGAGATGAAGTTTGTTGCACAGTAGTTTTTTCTTTTTGTAAATTTCTGCAGCTAACACATCTGTTGTTTACACTGAGGTTCCTTCCACTCTAAACATGAAGAGCTTCTGGATTCATCCAAACTAAGGGATAAATAAAATTAGTTAAACATGCAATTGCAATGTTTTCGAATACCATGATGACAATATCCTAAATGCCATAAATTTACCATTTTCATACTTGTTTTTCTTTTTGTTACAGCACTGTCTGTGTACTTCATAATTTAGGCCACTATAATGGAAATCAGCTTTGAGCATTTCAGGCACCAGAGGACTGTCTGATAAACAGATCTAAACTTAGCACATTAATAAAGAAATTTTTGTTTGGTTGGCAATAAATCTTATACCATTGGAAATCTTCTTTATTTCCACTTAAATGGTGCCACTTTTGTTAAGAAGGTGCATGTATGAGTCGAGTAGCAGAGTTAAGTTTGTGCGTTGTACCAATGAAAATCGTGCCAAATGTTCTCTGCCAATGTCAACCATTTTATTCTGCCGTTTACTCTCGTTTGCTGTTTATTGGGCTGAACAATAGAAGTTTTAATAAACAAGACACATTTGCAGTTTACCGTAAGATGCTTTCATTTATTAAACAAAGGTATCAGTGACAAGTGGAAGAACCATACACAGCCACAACAGCTTGGCACCTCCTCACATCACACACTGCTGTTGGGGGATATCCCCAATCAGATATTTTGACTACAGGTGTTACGCATGCTTCAGAAAATTGAATGCTGTGGTACGAGTGCAACATCGTATTGGAAGGAGTGAATCAAAACWTTTAACCATATAGATTTCTGTGTCGAACTGCATATAAATATTAGTTTTTCATTGGTTAGCTTCTGCCCATTAGAAACATCATTCATTGCAGACGTGTGTACCTTGGCAACGTGTTTTTACCTGATATGATTATACTGACAAGCATTTCTATCAAATCAA